GTGGACAACATAGACCTTCCATGGACTCGGACTCGGATTGGTTTTGTGGGTATAGCACTCCACGTTGCGCATCACCATGTAGTTGTGTGTCCTACTCCGTATGTTGGACGCCATGTTTCTTGAACTGATAATCTTGGTTTCCGGTGCTGCACTAACTAAGGTGTTAACTGACTAACTAACTAACTAACCAAGTAACTAACTAATGTGTTAAACGTACTGAAGTAACGTTCCCGGGTAGTATCCGGTGCATTCTCGGTTAGAAAACTCCAGTCTGTCGCTTCAAAGAGTCGGGTTAAGATGTTGTAACTGGTTATTATTCGTGTAGTGTGAGTTCTGTCCTCGGGGTACGCGGCATATCAGATGTATATGAAATGCAAAGTCGCATGATCACTGCGGCTTAGGAGCGTATCGATTATCACTCTCGTAATAATCAGTTGTTCATTAGTGAATATCTCCTCCAATATGGATGGCCTGTTATTTCCCCCGAATCTGGTGGGTGAAGTGAAGTGACCAAAAAGCGGAAGGTCCGAGACGAGATCTTGCAGATCTGCTTTGTATTGTTTTGCTGGTGTGGCCCTGGATTCTAGAACATGTAAGCTGAAATTGGCGGCGATTAGAACTTGACTGTCCTTCCTGTTTATCACCTGTCTCAACGCAGCCGCCATCCATCTCATGTCAGTTATGGTGATGATATCTTAAACGTTTGTTGCCTGGCTTAACAGAAGCACGGCGATTTTGCTGAGGAAACCTTGGACATTGGTGTGCATGCAGTAAAGATTTTCGGTTTTCAGCAGCGACCCGAAAGGCATGTGGCTGGGATAGGAGGTTGTACCAACAGTTGTATCGTCGGTCGCTAGCCATTTATTGGTGATATTATAAGTAAGTTGCTACGAGTTGGGTTCGGTGGCATCGTAATGATCCACTCTGGCAACTCAGTTTCCACCATACTTGCAGTTTGGATACAATATGGCAATAGGAAGATCATCACTTCCTTGAGACCTGTTACCAGTGCGATTTTCGGATGGAATCCCCACTTCGTCTGCCTGCTGAGGTGGTTCTCAAAGTCGGATGACAGTTTCGCTCAATGCTTCGAACCGGATCTTGGTTGGAAGCGTGTTTCAAAGTGACTACCATCGTTTCAGTAGCCTAAGTGGCATTTGCGTAATTTGTTGTACAAACTTCTTTCGCTTGGGACGAGCTTTTTGTAGCTTGCGGATTTTGGCACCCTTGAGAGAGAAGTGGCAACAACGTCATCCAAGACTAGGGTGCCGCAGATATAGTGCCACTGCTCCTTGTCGAGAGTCTCTGCTTTGTATGCATCACGCTCATGAGACTGGGAGACGCCTTGGACAAAAACGGTTCTGGCTGTAGTGTTTAGGCGGAATTCTTCTAAGCTCAGCTTCACTCGCTTTATGGAACGTTTTGAAAGTTGGGGACTAAACAGCATCCATGCTGAGGACGAGCTGTCAAAAACAAAACTGCTCCCACCTCATCGGCATAGTTTAGTACAACCCGAAGAAGCCTGGCTTTACCATAGTACTTTGAATTCGGGTGGCGGACAATCCTTGTCAAGTGGGAGGGCCTAGTCGGGCTATCGAGCAGGTGTTTCACCGGCTCAGGTCATCCACCAGTTTTCCGTTCAAAGAATTCCTTATTGACTCCGGGACGTTGGTGCATATAGTAGATAAGGCATACAATTGTTTCTGAACCCTTTTCATGGGAGTATAGATCATAGTTGAAAGACTGGACGGTTAGCCGCACACCAGTGCAGTGTCACCTTTCACATTAGTCTTGGGTGTGTTAGTAGAAGCAGCTGCCGCTAATTTTGGAGTGCACTTGGATGCAACTACTGCCCATCTGCCACTGATATTGGCTTGTTTCCGGGATCTCGGCGAAGCCTGAGGAGAGAAAGTACGGTTGGGAGAGATTGTTATCAACGGGCTGGAGGGGGAATGTTCTGGAACTCTTGGGTGATTAGGAGTAGTGGTGATGTTTCCAAGAGTTACTTTGTTAGTGTAACATCAGGCGTTGTTGAATTGGCTTGCAGTGAATTTCCGTGGATAGGCCAGTGTCAGATATTCTTCTTTGCTTATTCCCACTGAGGTTATTTTAGTGCTTAAAATTGGTTCCGCCACTTCTACCAACCTATCATACTTCTGGGACAGTGCAATTACGGTCTTAACTAGTAGGATGGTATTACACCTCGCGCAAAAGCAAAATGAGTCTGGCTTGCTGTTTAGCAGTCCAAACTCAGGATTGATGTGAATGCACGCGTAGAACTCGACAAAAAATGTGTGAAAAAGGAGAACTGGAAGAAGAGCATGATTCACACAGGTTAGATTCAATAGGTGGGAAGCATTGAGTAGAACCTGTTGAACTGATTCGAACGGGCGCACGTACAAGATTGTGTGCAGAAAATTAGAATGGCCACAGAGGGCGAAGCGAGAGCCGAGTTAGAGTGCGACCGTACGGCGTGACGTTCTCTCAATTAGCTCTGTAAATGGATGTGGGCACAGCATTGGGGATGCGACTAACATATTGCGGGTCCGATATGCTCCATTGTTCTGACGAAGTACCAGCATGTGTCACTTACTTGTTTCAATCCCCCACACTTCAGGATTTACCCACATCACTTTTAATTCAGCAAATATAATAAGTGAGCAGCCATTATAGCTTGCTACCAATGAACTGGAATTCTGTGTTATCAGCACAGTTTCATCATTTATCTGGCGTTAGTTTGACGTACATGAACTTCCCAGTTCTCCAGTGACGTATCCCTTTGCACGCTTTCATTACAATATTCATTCCTTTGGTAACCTAATTTCTGCTTTTCCCTGGTCCGGAAAATGCTCTACACAATGAATCTAAGTATTTTCCAGAAAGTTCGTAAACTTAGTTGTACAAGCAGCTTATGGAGCTCCATCTATTTTGCTCCGGAGCGTGATAACAACCTGTCAGCAATTTGCGTAATTCTAGTGTTAGCTCTTCCAGGTTTCATTGCTATTTTGAATTACACATAACTCTCCGCGAGACTTCTAACCCAGCCGAAGAAAAATTCACATTCCAACGACCTTAAGCGAGAAGGTGTTAACCGAAAGCCGCCAAAACGCTGTGAAATTGTCCCAGACCATCGTCAAATTCATAAGTCGTGTAATGGCCTTCGGCGTCTAGAAAAACGATGGTCAAGTGTTAAAATTAGTGACTTCATTGCCAACCCACCGCATGTTGGCGATCACATGAAGCAGTGGTTCCGGAATCTTCGAAAACAATGCACAATCGAAGTTAATCAAGTAATTGCTGGAATAATGAGTTTTCCATGATGCCGTAACCTTCTTTCGACTACCTTTCTTCCAGAGACTGTCGCCGCAATGTATGATGATAGCTTGGGGTTGACTTGAATCCTTCTGGACGGTAGTCAAGTCCTGTCGGTCCATCGTTTTGGCTAAAGTGCTTTGGAATCGAGTTTCGTGCTTTGCGGTCTGGCATCATGCTTTGGCTGACAAGGTTCTTCCACGCGCTCCTTGGGCAAGTTGAAACTGTCTGCTAACAGGTCAGATGAGAGCACGACAGATTCTGTTGCTGCTGTTTGACACAGCGTTGATCGCAGCTGGTTTGCGTGGTGTATCCAACCTGGGTTGCAACCAGCGCGCCGTAAATGACGTTCCTGCGCCCAGCGTCTGTGTTGCCTGTCCTTCCGGGCAACCACATGCAAGTACTGATTGCCCCGGTTTAAGCGACCTTTGATTTGCATCATACCGCCGATTGAAAGCACGCTGCAACCTGAGGTTCATTTCAGCAGCTGTGTGATCCGAGGACCGTAGAACGGCTTCAAAGGGCATGCAGAGCCTTTTGTTCCTCATGGTCTCTGCTGATGATACCGCATTCAGCGTTTCTGGATGCTGGGTGGATCGGTACAGAAGGAGGAACCAGTCAATCACCTCCTATATATCCCCTACTTCATTTGAAGAGCGCGCGTTTAAATTTACCCACAAATATCACTGCTTGACCTTCGTTTGTGGATGGAATGGTAGAGACCACAAGTGCTTGTTGGCACAGCGTTTGCAGAACTCAGTGAATGTGGCAAAAGTAAACTTTGTTCCGTTGTCCATTAGCAATGTTTCATGGAAGCCTAAACTGCTGAAGAATTGTCGCAACCTTGAGACCGTTGCGCTGGTTGCCATGCTGCACATGAGGAACACTTCGGACTATTTTCTGTAAGTGCCGACGACAATCAGAACTTTCTGGCTGTTGATGGTGTCTACAAAGTAGACATAAACACGGCTGCAAGAATTTATTGGTTTTGATCATGAGTGGAGTTCGGACTTCGGTGGTGCACTTTATGTGGTGGTGCGGTTTATGCAAGTTCTGGATAGCTGTCCCAACGGTCGATCCAAAAACGGCCAATATACGTTAGTTCAGGCAAGCCCATTCATTCGGTTGAGCGCTGAATGTCCTGCATAGAAGCGATCGTTTATTTTCATTGTGTCACTGTTAATTTTAGTTATATGCATGCGTAGAGAATTTTGATGTAATTACTTGAGGGTTTCTTGCAGTAGTTCTCTAATATGAGAGTCTAGCCCTTGCCCATAAAAGGACTAGACGGCTGTTTCGAGTTGTTGGGTCATTTCAGTTGAGCGCATTCTTCGGCTCCATCAGGATCCGAACCCGTGTCCATCGCTGTACTCCACTGATCAGTAGAAAAAGCTTCTGGCTGGCGGTTCATGCCGGTAGGCTCTATTGGATTCGTAATATGCTGGAGCTAATGGATGCGCACTACTGACGTGACTCAACAGGTCAACATGGAGATAGAGTGTCATCTGCTATGGAAACTACTGCGATGAACTCCCAGTTAATTTTGGTTGTGTTGAATTAAGTCAAGATGACTGAATTGACTCTGCTTAGGCATGTGGATAGTAGCTGTTTAACTGAAGTCAACTTGGTGCTAATAAACTGATGCACAAGCACATCTTTACCAACACCGTATTTTGCTGTCGATACAGAGAGAAGTCAAGGACTCACGAGCCAGGCTGGAAGAGGTTCAAATCAAATTGATGAGAAACACGTACAGTGTAAACCAAAATTATGTCAGCGGAGAAAATCTTCCTACGCCAATTCGAACATCTGATTGCGTCGACCTACCCGATCCCCAATTGATCTCCTTCTGTTTTTACGAGAAGACCGTCTTTCTACCAATGCGTTGTTCTTTTTCAATCAAGGACACAATGGAGCTCATGAGTTTCAACTTAGTATTGGCTCTCATCAGGTATGGAAGTCACTATATCAGTACGAAGAATCGGTACCGAATGTTCGATTAGGCTTTTCTCTTTGGATTGCACTACACTGTTTTAAAAGGGGCCCGAAAGTGGTAGTATTTGTCATGGATGAAATAGTGTAACAGCCGCCAAAATCAGATGCAAGAATAATGAAGAAGTGATCCCTAACAATATTTTTATCGGGCTATGGACAGTTATTCTATATAGGTAACATTTAGCATGTTTTAATACAGCAGTTAAAACGGCCCGCGATGTGAGCGCATTCACAGTCGATTTGTCGATAGCTAATAGCTTAGCACACGACAGGAACCGCATCCTTGTACAATATTTGAACCAAATCCAGTCAATCCGCAGTCAACTTTGCGTTTCGTGCAGATCAGTCCAGATGTTAGATTTATCGGGAGATGGATCGGTCGAACTAAGTGTGCACCAAAACCATCAAATGTATTCATCTTCATTAGGTATCAATTGGAGTAGATCAACACATTCGCAAATTGCAGTATTATAAAGTTCAAATCGGTGCTCAGCTCAGTAACTGATTTGCTGTTCCGATGGTAGTGGACGTTCGGCCACTAATGATCCAAGTTTCCCCTTCACATGATAGCAAGATCGACAAGACGGCTCACTTTATTTGTATGTCTCAGGATAGACAGTGCAAGAAAAGAACCACAAACGGGATTTATTTTGTACCAGGACTTAATAACTAGTCTGCTTGGCCGTATCGCCTGCGAGCTCAGTAGAGCGTCGTTCCCTATGATGGTCTTCGCTTACTTCAGCATGTCACACTGCCTGTCTCACTCTATATGGACGTACCATAAGTACGGCAGATACAGCAGCATCACTTTTCGACAAGTTCCAATAGTGTATCAAGTACTTACGGACATGACCCCTCTGGAGGTTCAGTCTACGATTTCCACGTGGCTTTCCCTTCACCAGGGCGTGGTGGAGTGTACCAAAACACTACTAGTTAGTTCCCATCACCCACATGTTGGCAGATACTGAACGCAGCAACGTAAAACTGGATACGCATATGCTGGAAGCAAGGCACGCGGAAAGAAGAAGCCGATAGCAGGTACTTGATCGAGAGATGACGATGCAGCACGAAATAACGAGTCCTTGCACTCTCCATGCATGCTACATTTATCTACTTATTACTCTGGGAGAAAGATGCTAGTTTGTGGGATATACTGAGTTTGATCCTGCCTCATACGATTGCTGTGTGTCAGTAATGGTGGGATCTTCCTTCGCTTCATTACATTACACGGTATTTCCACTTTTATCTATACACTTGCACATTTTTCCGTGGTCGCCAGTTAGCAGCGGAGCTGTCTTTGAGAAGATTCGTCGCAATTAAAATCAGTCCGACCTACAAACACGTCCTGAAATGCGCTACCTGGCCATTTCTTCCGATTGGGACTTGTCAATAACGCAAACACCCATGATTCTGCTGGGTCCAAACCTATGACCTTACTCCTACGAGTCAGCGACTTGAGTCACTGAACCATGGGTGACAGCCGTGGAACTCCGTGGCTGATTGTTAACACTGTGCTAGCCAGTGGTCGGTCGCACGATTGTGGCTCTCTTGCTTTTTTGACGTTGCTCCGCAACTATCTGATGTGGACCTACCAGCTCCATTCAGTGCATACAGTGGTAAGCATTTATCCTCTCTACATCGCAATGGTTCCTGCAACTGCTGTTCTCACAATAAACTTACGAAAACCTTAGCGTGCAAACATCTCATTCTCCGAGTCCATGCCCAAACGCTTGGATTCATTAGACAGCTCTGTTAGTCCATTTCAACTGGCCCAATTAAAGCGTTTAACGAGCTTCTACTTGAAAACTGCAAACTTTTTGTAGTCATCAGTTTCAAGCCACTCCTTCTGCGCTGATTTCATGTTTCGCCACTGGAATTTCTCGCCCCATAATTTTGACTACATTCCTGGATCTATAGACATGCACGTAGAAGGGGTTGACGCGCATACAGTGCCAACAGCTATCGTGTGAAGTGGCCAGACGAGTGACTTTGCTGCATTCACCCAGACGACATGCGAAATTTCAGTGTCAAGACGCCTCACTTGTCCACAAACAGAAAATGAATGGACGTGGCCGCAAACGTATATACCAACCACCGGGTCATGGGACGAGGCAGCTTGTCAACCGGAACACGAATGCATGACAAACCGAAGGTTAAGTCATAGATCGCACATGCAGGTGACAGAAGACACGAAAAACTTAGATGTTCACTCTGTGCCAAGGGCTTTGAAGGACAAAGTACGGATCCACAAAGCGGCGGCAAATACAATGCACCCACAAATATTGTGTGGTTATTTGATGTTTATTTAGAGAGTCATATGGTTAAGATAACTCAGGCATTTATGCAGTGATGCGAAAAGTCATCCCTAATGACAGCAGAGTAAAAGGAAAGGGTTGCAGACGTGGTAGGAAAAGTTGCTAACCCGAGCTGCATGTTAGGATACTACGTAGCTCGAATCTTGGAGCAGGCAAAAGACCAAAACAATCCATCAAAATGCCACCATGTCCGACGAATAGCGTACCCAATTAGTGAAAAACATCAGTAAAGTCACTTTGTTTGAGCAGTCTTCCATATCTCAGATCGTGACGCAAGATATGAAGCATTCTGCAGTTATTACTCGATCACGGCCAGAGTGTTTGTTGTTGGCATGGCAACTAAAATTTGCCCATGCAATCAACTCGATTAACGTCGTATTACATGAAAAGTTTTGCTGTTTGGTTATGTTATCGCGCAGACAAGACAGGACAAAGTACTTCATAAGGCACATCTACGCGCTGCAGAGTAAGCTGGTAATGCGCACTCAAACGGCGTTGGTCGTCATATCTTTGAGCGTCCCAGAACCCGGTAGCCGGTCGTTCAAATTTGGACAAGTCGATTAGCAAAACCGTCGGGGTGGGATAAGCCGCTCGCTTGGACTAAACGTTCTCCCCAGTAATCAAAAGCGAGCTTCACGAAACCTATCATATCCGCACGCAGGGAACTTACATTAGAGCGGATCACATCTGCTAAAGCGCGGGAGCTAGAAGACATGCTTTTATCAAGTCACAATTCAATATATATATATATATATATATATATATATATATATATAATGGTTGGCGGCATCCAGTTTCGGATTTGCATGTCACTGTAGTCAGCCACAGGATGCCTGCGCTTACAGAGGGACCATGGGTGGCTTGCGCTGCACCATCCACAGCGCCAACCACACACCCCATATCCAGTGTAAACCCGAAGGAATAAGACCGGGAGGCATGTGGATTGGGAGCCACGTTTCATCAACGGAGCCGGCCCACACTCCTTCACAGGCAAACGCAAGCACGCTGTATTTGGGAATCAAGCGCACACAAGGCGGTGGCTGGACCGTAGTCCGCTCCACACTGAGTGCATGGAACCGCTCTTCGAGCCTAGCACGGCCACAAGGACCGTGCACCCCGTCCCCTCCAGCAACGACCAACTGTCTCCTAGAGCCAGTATGAACGAGGTGGTGGGTAATAGACAGGTAGGCACCTTGTCAACATGCACATCAAGCGCAGCCACACCGGGGATATGAAGCAACAGCCATCCACTTGAAACGACAAGATGAAATAAAATAAATCCAGTAATGCATACAGATACGGTGGCATAACTCTTCGCTAAATTATCATATGAAGTAAGTTGGTTAGCAACGTATCCGCGATAAGTAAGAAATGTTCACGAGTTACTAACGAATGCTACAAACGCAACAAAGTTACCGAAGATAAGCGCGATTAGCGTAAGCAACGTGGTCAGTTAATAGAAGATTATTCAAGTAGGCAGAACAAACCAAATAAAGGGGAATGAAATGTATGCAGCTTAAAAGACCTAGTTTAAGTGTAAGTTGGTTTAGCCCAACTGCGGTGAAGAAGCATCAAGAATGAAACATCAGCCTCAGCATATATATATATATATATATATATATATATATATGTACGCAGATTCTGATTATATATATATATATAATCACAATCTGCGTACAGATATTGTGCCACTGGAACCATAGGGGAATAGGAAAAGGAGATTAGAGTAAAAGAAGAAAGAAAAACAAACCTTTTTTGTCCTTTTCCCCCACGTACAGTTTTTTGATATTCTTTATTAAGAGAGGGAAGGGGAATCACAGCGGCAAGCAGAGAACACGCCCGCCACTGAGTTCGGTTTTGAGTTATGATTTCCAGGCTTTCTAACAAGCGGCACTCAGCATTCTTGGGACTCCAACCAGGGATTCGAGTAGAACCAACCGAAGTCAGTTGTTTTGTCAATTTTTTCATCTTTCTTCTCCAGGTTGTAGGCTGTCCACCACACTGCCCCTTCCAGCCCTGCCCAGCGACCGCGAACAAGGCACGACGCGGAAGACCCTGAACGCGCATACGCCATCGCAGTTGACGCAGCGAGACAAGCGCCTCGAGAGATTGGTTGCCTCCACCCAAGACACACTGTTTAACTTTAGGGTTGGTTACGTGGTGCAGCCACCACACACGGTCTATGGGACCGGAATCAATGGTTCTCGAAGACAGACAGTCGGCGTAGGTCCTCGGTACGAGCAGGCCAAGTCTCGCAACCGTACAACAGTACAGCGCGGACGGTAGCACTATAAACCCGCCTTTTGATGAATAGACCCGATGTCAAGGCTGCGCCATAAATGCCTCAGCTTAGAGAAAGCGAGGCGAGATCTTTAGGTGCGCATGGAAATTTCGTCTCCAACAGCCCCACTAGCAGTTATGCAATTTCGCGGGTAGACAAAATTCTATACAAAATAGCGTCTCACCATGGATGGTGAGTGCAGATAAGGGCGTATGCCAGTCT